GCAAGTCCAAAAATATCCAGTTAAATTCGAAACTAGTGATGGCTGACCTAAATCAAGAGTTTACCAAAGGTGACAGTACGTTGATAGACAGAAGGTAGAACAGATGCTATGTTTGTTATAAAATGGGACACATTGCAAAGGAGTGCAAGTCCATTACCAGCAAACAACACCAGAAGTCTCAATATAAAGCAGCTGGGGCTATTTACAAAAATAATGCTAGTAAGAAAAGAGTGACTGGAACCATAGATGCTGCTGTCAGAAGAAACAGAATCAAGATTCACCACAAGAAGGAAGTGCCAATTCCATAATTGATCAGTGCAAAACTAATGGTTGGCTCAAGTTAGTAAACAGATCAACAGTCCCAGTAGTGCTTGGTGTATGTGACAAACATCAAGAAGTGTTACCAAATCACAGCATGCCTGTAAATGAAGAATATGTTGGGGACAAGAAAGTGAAGATTGTACGAGACACTGGGTGCAGTAGTGCAGCAGTGAGAACCAGTCTAGAATCTGATGATCAGATGACAGGCAAGGAATGCCAATGTGTGATAATTGATGGGATAGCGAGAAAGTTCTCCCATAGCAAAAATAAAGGTAGATACTCCATATGTTCTAGGAGACCTTGAGGCCATGTGTATCAAGGAACCAGTATATAACTTAGTAATAGGAAACATACCAGGTAGTAAAAATTTGAAGGAAGTACAGAAGAAAGACCTTTCACCACAGAAACTTCAGGACAGTGCGCGTAAGGATGTCAAGCACAAAGCAAAAAGGAAAGAGACTTACAAAACAGAGGACTTGAAAGTTGTATTGAACCAGACCTATCAAAACAGTTTTACAGTTAGAAACACTTCTATAACAAGAAGGCCATGGGTCGATGTTTTAAGGTCGGACAGTAGGTTTTAGTTCTGCTGCCCACAGACCACAACAAACTCACCCTGCAGTGGAAAGGACCTTTCACAGTACAGAAAATGGTCCACAGAATGCACTATAAAGTGAAAGTTGATGGAACGACCATGGTCTACCATACCAGTCTGTTGAAGTGGTACTTTAAGAGAGAGAAGATGATCTAATGGGTGCAGCTATTGATGTACAGATGGGCATAGCAGGTGTGGTTGTCATAGAAGCAGAATCTGAAGAGAATGACTTTGTTATAGAAGATAGACCTACTAGGCCTAAGAGCACTGGGTGGGGATGAAATTTACAAGGATGTCAACATAAGTGAAGAACTGACTGGTAAGAAGAAGAAAAAGAAACAGAATCTACTGTGTCAGTATACAGATAGATTAGGAAATACAAACCCCAGACAACATGAGATCAAGATGAAGACAACGGGTCCTGTTAAGGTGAAACCCTATTGGAGGCCCTACATGAGAAGAGACTGACAAAGGAACTGTAAATATTGATGTAGACTATATGAGAATACTTAGTATATGAACTGAAAACAATCTTTGTATATAGTGAAAAAATTGTAAATATTCCTCTTGAAGAGGGGTTTTGTCAGATATAAAAGACTGTTTAGTGTAGGTAGTATTATTAATTAATTTTGTGTTTGCCATCCATTGATGTCGAGGCTGTGGAGATTTCTAAAAGGCCTAAGTGATAGACATATAAATAGCTGCAACCAGATGAGCAGAAACACAATAAAAGTGAAGTCATGTGAAAGATAAGTTCAGTCAGAGAAAAGTTAGAAAGTGTAAAGTTAATTGTCATGGGAGTGAATGACCTAATGGTTGATATGTTAGTGAGATTAACAGTTTGAAAGAGATAAGGAGAATAATTTGATAATTTAAACTAATTGAACCTGCCTCTGTGGACTTTGACAAAAGACAGAAGAGTATTGGAAGTTCAGGATACAGTTGTGGTAACTCACGTGACAACATAAGGGAAGTATACACGAATAGTGTTGCAATTAAAATAGAGAAAAATACTTCGACTTGTCAACTGAATTCTAAAGCAATTGAATTGGCTTCAGTGGACTTTTGATAAGAAAAAGAGAACTGTATAGTGTTTAAGATACAGCTATGATCTCCATAGTGTAAAGATTTTGTACATACCTTTAACTTGTTTCAAATATGTATATTAATTTATAAACAAGTGTAGTGCTTGCTGTTCGTTTATTGTCAAATTCATCACCAACAAGTCACAGACACCTACTGTAGAAGAAACCTTAGCCCAACACACCCATATATTTGCATTACTATATATACTACAAAAAAGTACATTTCTGACAGTGCTCTTATTTGTGTGGTTGTGATTGAAAAGTTTAATCTATCACATCAGTAAAAATGACATCCATTTAACAGTGAAATGTGCATTACACTTAATATGGTATATAGTTTGACCATAAAAAAAAATTGTATAGCTATTTAATATATATATATATGTGTGAATTAATTTCACTATATTGTGTGCCCCATGGTAACTGAACAATAAGTGTGAGGGCTTATAGCACTAAAACAACGGGTTTCAATATTGGTTAAGGGTAGAGCACAGATAATCAATTGTGTAACTTTGTGCTTAACAACAAAACAGACACTATATTATGATACGATTAGGAAAAAAAATGTGATTATTTCCCAAGCATTGTACTTTACTTTTTACTAAATCTTACTTGACTCATTTAATTTCTCTCATATTTGTGTTAGTTACTTAGGTTATTATTAAATGGTTTTATTGCATAATGTTGGGTGTCTTTCTAAATATGTGAAGTAAATAAAACTTGGATATTGCTTTAGTGTAGTACCATTATTATTGCTATTATATAAGCACCTCTAGAAATAATGACACAAAGATATTTGTGAGATTTCTATCCGTGTTTGAAATAGAAATAGACATGTATTTGTTAATTGTTTATGTATGTATATAATCTAAAAAAAAAAAAGCACTTGTGTAGATTTACAATTGTTAAGTTTTTCTGTGCATTTAAATGGCTGGAATGAAAATCTCTGATAACTGTACATCAAGTTATGGTACTTAGAAATAGCACTGCATTCAACGTGGTCTTTAACTAATTAAAATTAGTGCATGCGAACTCCAAGCAGTTATTATTTGAGCTGTTGCCTACAAGACTGTTAATAATAAAACCCTATTAAATATCTCTGACTTTATAACTACAGGTTTTGACTTATATTCAGTGGAAGGAAAAAGATTATTACTGTTGATCTTCTTTCCATTTAAATAATGTACTTATATATGGTAATAAGTAAAAGACTGATATACTCACAGATATCACAGAAGCATGTGACTGTAAATAGAATAAGTAGTTAATATTAGTTAATGTTTTGAATTTTTCTAACAATTGTTTTTAATTTTAAAAAGATTATTTAAAAATATAATAGAAGTGTTTCAAAGTCTTAATAGTGTAAGTTGTTTGTATTTAAGTGTAAAGGGTATTTTACCATGAGGGTTTCTTTACAGAGAATGCTGTCAGCTTTTGGTGGTTTCCACACATGTGGGGCCACACTAAACCACATTTGTTCAACAACATCTCTTACTTAGAAGACAACATGAACAGAAATTACCAGTTTGCAAAGGTACAGGATAATTACATTAAGTGGAAACAGTAGGTTTTGGTTATCTACTGAAGATTTGGTGAAGACATGACTATGGTTTGTAAATATTGACTAAATTAAGGGAAAGTACTTCCATTTTGAAGAGCCACACAAGTAGGTAACTGTTTTAGCACATGCAAGTTAAGTTAATATCTGTTGTTTTTTTGTAAAGCACCTAGGATGGCAAAGCATGATCTGTTTTTGTGCTTGGTAATGCAGTGGGATGTTTCTTTGAATCATCCATATAGTGATCTTTCTAATTGAAATAAGAAAGTAATATTTACAAAGTTAAAATTTTTTCAATGAAGTGAAGGTCTTTAGCAAGCCTGAAAGAAAATATTTTATGTACAAAATGCAAAAATTAGTGATCTGATAAACGGGGTTCTTTAATTTATTCAGATTAATGAGACTAAGAAGAGCCTTTCTACAGTTGATACCGAAACCTCCTGTTTTTATAGGTTGATAGTATAGTAGATTTTTGTTGTTGTTTTTTGAATAAATGTGTGTGTGAATGGGTTTAGTAGAAAACAGTTATGTTTGTAAGGTCTTCAGTTCCACACTTCTAACTCGAAGTTGTTATATGAAACTTCGTGCTGTGTAAACTGGTTTCTCGTGCAGGATGTTGTCCGACCATTACCATATATAATTATCTTCATCCACTCTTCTTGTACACCAGTATCTTCTAAACCTAACCTTTCATGACTAACCTTTATCTAAGGGGATTTGGTTTCTCATGTGTTATTCGTAACACTCATTCTGTTACTCTCTTACTGCACCTAACTAGCTCCATACTGTATGTAATCTTATGGAATGTTTCACTAATACTACACATCCGTACATTGTTTTCTTACCTTGTAAACCTACTTGAACATGCACAACTTTAAGAGCTATATTTATTTATCATTTTGAACCTTTCCAATTTCACATAACTATATTATGTTCATTAGTTTGTTGCCTTATGAACATGTTCTCTCAATTTGTCATTGCTAAAAATTACTACTTTCATTTTTCATTTCTTTAAGGTCTCATTTCTCTCATATTTAACCTCACTACCACAATGTGTGGCAATATATATTCTTTCATGCAAATTCTCATTACTTCTTTTTTTTAAATGTATATACTTGTTTTCTCAAGTTTAAGTCTCACTACCTCTATTTTGTTTGACTACTTGTATTAATCCTTACTACATCTCTCTTATTTTCCACTGTAGTACATGTTGTTTTATACAGAATCTCACAACTTCCAATCATTTGGAACTTTATGAACTTATTCTCTCATACTAACCCTCATGACTTCTATTTGTGTGGCATTTTTTGAACCTATTATCTCATCTCATAATAAATCTCATGACTTCCATTTATTTGGTACTTTATGGAACTGGTCTTTCATTTTAAAATACTATCTTCATTTGATTGACATACTGTGGACCTTATCTATCTAATGAAAGCTCACAGTTCCAAGTTCTGGTGGTTTTGTCACATGTGGAGCCACACCAAGCCACATCTGTATGAGAACATCTCTGACCTAGAGATGGAGATGAACTTGAATCATCAATTTGCTCAGGTAATACTTAAATGTAAACCATTAGTTAAACACTTAATATCCAAAATGTGATTTACTGGCTTTAGCTCACTTTTTTGTTTTGTATGGATGATTTAATTCAAAGCAATGATCAACCTTGTCTCTAAAATTATTGTTTTAATTTGTATGTGAAATACAATTTGCATGTGGTAATAAATTTCAAAACAGAATATTTATTTCCCATTAGGGTGAGTATAACTTTCATGTGAAGAACATATTTGCCAATGAATTTATTATACTACTTTATCCATAATTGCTTAATATTGTCTCAAATTCCTATACACGTTTTGTAGACCCACCTAAAAGAACTTATATAAATGGGCAATTGCTGTTTTCTGATAGATTATCTTCTGATGTTAAGACAGAGGTTTAATAATTTATATAAATGTGTGTATAGTTATTGTGTAAAGAGGAAATACATGGGTCATCCATGTGTAATTATAATGTCATTTTTTTAGTTATTAAACTTGTAAGTTTTGTTTATTTTAGCATTCATTTGAGAATGGGATTTACCTGGTTTACTTAGTTCATCATGATAGTATGGTATGAAAATATAAGTTACTTATATACTTTAATATATAAATATTAGGTGAACAATGCAAGTGTTGAAAAAAGAATGTTTTGTTTTGAATTTGTTTTTCTTTTCTTTAGTTTATGAACATTTTAGTCATTGCCTTTGATTCACTAAGGTATCGTGAATCACAGTAGTGATTTGTAATAGAAATCACCGTGTTTTTTGTTTTTTTATTATTATTATTTAATATTGTTCTGCTAGCCTAGAGGAAAAATGACTGTGTGTATTGTAATAAAACCTGGACAATTCTGCTAAACTTATCATTGCACATTGTGTAGGGTAGATTTTAAGTGTATTTAACTACCTAGCAAATAACAGTGGCTCTATAACCATTGACACCAAATTAGTTTAATGTAGTCTGTGGTTTATAAGGAGCCTCATAATCTAATATACATGCACATGTATATTGCTGTGTTCAGGCCGTGGATGTAATTTAACGTTTATACGGCAGGCATGACACATGCACCATAGCAATTAGTAACTTATTGTTGCAACATTATTGATGTTGCATATGATTGATCTATGTATAGGGTTCCTGCCCTTTTGGACACGACACTGCTGACAGGATCAGAGTTTCTTTTACCACTGCATGATCGATTTCACCCATGTTACACAAATGTCTAAAATACTGTATAAACACCTAGGATGTCTCCCACAACAGAAATCTTTAAGCTGTAGTTTAAAAGGTAGCACCAAGCTCTGTTTCAAGCATCAGATCAGCAATCACAGTGATGGCTGATGGTAAATGTTGAATTATAGCCAACACTGTGTGGTTGCAAATTTTATAGATACTGCAGATAGAGTAGCCATCCTTGAAGCTGACTCTAAGGAATGGCAAGAATTGTGCAAGCAGGAAATAGAGATTGTAGGTGAAAGTGAGGCAGAAATTTTGTAACTATATTTTACTTAGAAAATACTTAGTTTCAGATAATGTATGCTGAAGCAATGGCCCACCATAGTTTAGGGTCATCACAGTGGAAGAGGGTCATAGAAATGTCACAACTCAAACTCCATCAGAAAAGGAGAGGAAAGGTATATTAATATAATTAATTCATAATTGTTAAATAACACATTTTCTACCTCGTAGAGTGTGCAGAATGTCACTCTAAAAGGAAATTTGGCCAACTGGAGTAAACTGTGACCGTCCTTACTATGGCCAGTAAAGAGGAGGAAGAGGAAAGGAAGAAATATAATAACTATAAGGAATATTAAAAATGCTTATTTGTATACATATGCTATTATATTATGACACATTGTCTTATACGTGCATGCATGCGTCCATACAACTTGAAAATTAAAATGGTTAATTATATATACGGCTTTGCAACTTAAAAAACTACAAATCCTGCATATGTGCGTGTGTGTATATATATGGATGGGTGGGTAGATGGATGGCTGGATGGAATTACTAGCCAACATGCAAGTATAAAACTCGTGTGGTTACAAAATCCAGCTATGCACTATTCCAGTATAGTTCAGTATTCCCTCCAATCCAGTGTTTACAGACTCCCCATATAGCTACAGGATATAAATATATATATTTTACAAGTATAGAGTGTTCATAAAGTCTGGAATCAATGTAAACATATTTTATTTTAAGACATAGATACAATATTTGTTCAAAATGGCCACTGCAAAGTTCAAAACATGATTGTAAATGATACAGCATGATTGAGATATTGGATTTCTTTCTGGATGTTTGTTATTGAACTTCACAGCTATTTCTCTCTGTGTCCATCCTTGATGTCCAAACAACAGGATAATTTCAACATGCTCTTGTAAGCTTAATGACATGATTATTATGTATGGGCAACACAAACCTGCAACAAAAAGAATAAAACATAAAATTAATCAAAAAAATGTTTCAACTAAAATAAGTTTACATTGATTCCAGACATTATGGACACCTTGTATATGCATAACATGTAATATGTTGATCACCAAGCATCATAGTGATCACACATGCAGTATTTACTATCAATAATAACATTGTGGCAATGATATCAGAAGCAATAGCCATCCAATCTAAATTAAGCCAATCCAAAGGTTGTCATTGTTTCTCGAGAGAGCATCATACACCAACTACATATTTCATAAAACAAAACTATTTCAAATTGGACAGTATTGTTATTATACAGATTTATGTTCATGATGAACATAAAAAAAACTAAAAAAACAATATTATTAAAAATTGTTAAGTTAAAAAAAAAAGAGAAAAAGAATCTTCAAAAAAACACAGAAACAAGATAGATAGCGTAAAGTGAAAATGCAATTGCAAAAAAAAGTAACCAAATAAGCTTAAAGTTTGAGACATAGTACTGACAATATTTTCTCCAGCTACAAATCTCCGTTTTGACTCCATGTCTAAAAGCTGTAATATATAGGAGAGTCAAAATGTCTCAAACCTTAAGTTTGTTTACTTATTTTGCAATTGCATTTTCACTTTATGCTACCTATCTTGTCTCTGTAATTTTCTGAAAATCCCTATTCTCCTCATTTTTAAATCAACAGTTTTTAATAATCATGTTTTATAGGGCACACTGTGGCTGCTGTAGCTTTATAATATGCCATAAACTATTTCAAACAAAGGAACGTCATCTTTAAATAAGGTTCCAGACCTCTAATTTGAAATGTTGATATTTGAATATCATGTCTGCTTTTTATTTTTGAGACAAGTATTTTGTTAAAAAAAAAAAAAACACAGTGATCACATCAAAAAAAAATCTCAAAACACCACAATCTTGTCTCTTGAATTTATACGTTTAAAGTGTTATCAGAAAATATAACCCACGTTCTTTCTGTATATTTTCTTCCTGTAGGAACATGGAATTCCTACTGATTCAGGATATTCTGTTGCTCCTCATCATTCTGGTGTATATCCTGTCCACGAACAACTGTATGAAGCTTGGAAACGTGTTTGGAATATTCGCGTCACTAGCACAGAAGAATACCCTCATCTTCATCCTTCCAGGTTCAGGAGAGGGTTTATTCATAGGAACATAATGGTATGAAAGTTTGGCACTATAAATAATAATCCATTTGTATTTTCTTAATTGCATCAATGTATATTGGAATCTTGCTCTTCAAAATACAAAACAACATGTATTTGGTGTGCTATAACTAAGTTGTGAAACCACTGCTTATAGCACATGTCCTGATAATGTGTGGTAATTTAGCTATTGTGGTGTTCATCCGAACAACTGTGTGAATGCAAATATATTTCTTTATTTAGGTTAGTTGAAGATCCAGAAAGGTGTATTGTATGAAATGTGTGTCAAACTGTACTGGTACTACAGTCAAATTTGGATGTTGAGTAATCAGTATATGTGTATAATGATCATACTGACATTGCTTATGTTTTAATCAAACTAACATTAGATCTAGGCTTAAGTTGAACTTGATAATGTCAGAATAAAATAGCAAGAGATCAGATATGTTAAATTCATTTCTAAATAGGATTCTCTCTGCCTTAATCAGTATAATTTAGACTTGATATGAAACTTAAAATGTAATGTTTTGTAATACAAATTTATTGAGGCACAGAACTAAATGTCATTTTATATATCTAGGCCTATATTAAGACTCCCTGATCAAGATCTACCTTTTATATGCAGATAAAGTTATACTTGTGTATTAAGTTGTTATCAGGGAGTTTATTTTAGGCTCCTCATCCTTTATATATTGGTCTGTTCATATGTTGTTAACCAAAATAAAATGGATGTATATATCTAAACAATTTGGCAGATCTACATATATTTTTATTGACTTTAGGTATGCAAAACACCAGATAATAAGATCTGATTGGCAAAACACCATGTACTTTATATTACACATTAAATATGGTATAGATATATTAACTACCTGTTTTTATTTAGGCACTTACTTTATTTTAGATATATAGTTGTACTTAATTCAGTTGTGTGAACCTGAATTGAAACATTTATGACACGAGTGATTGGGTTAAGACTGTACTTCTTGTTGACATTACTACTTTTTACTATCAAAAACTTTAACTTGTCCTTAGTTTAAACTTCTAACTTGTAATCTACATTCTTTTAGCCTGTAGATTCCATCCTGGAAATTAAAATATATTATTAGAGTGTGTAGGTTTATAAGACAAATAATTATTAGTTTCACTGAATTACATAATAAGTAATACTCTCAAAAAACAGTTCCTATTACTCACAATGCCACTTGCCTTTTCCCTTATTCTAGGGACTCCCTGGTATCTATTTAAAACAAAATAACCTGACAAACTTTTTAAGAAGTTTGTTCTATCAATATTTTATCCAACTAGGAAGTTTGCTGTTTTGTTTGCTCTTGAAGAATTAACTCCTTAAACCCGAGCAGACACTGCCAGTGTCTGGTGAGAAATCCCGATTTAGCCATTGGACGGTGACAGTTTTTGATAACATTTATGCCTCTTTGCCTGAAAACTAATCCAAACCATGTTGTTATCCACTTTTTATAAAGAGACCAGAAATTTTATAAGGTATTGGGATAATTGTTAGGCCATCATGAAAATAATTCTGGCAGAACGTACAAAAAAAATATGGGTTTAAAAGAGTTAAGTGTTTCAGATCTAGAAAATCTTAAGCCTTTCTTCTTTATAAACCAGTGTCCTCAGCCTTCAATAAGCTATTTTCCCAATCATTGTAGACTTCATTTTGATCACTTTTATTTATTATATAAACCTACTGAATGTGTCAACAGTAATCATTACAAATATTAGTTTCTTGATATCATAATAATAATTTTTTTGTGTAATGAAGTACAATGGTAATCTTAATTTTCTCATAATTTTTAGTTTATCATTTGAAATATTTTAGTGTGTCTTTAAAATCACATTAGAGTGAGTTTTATTGTATTTATGTGTGTATGTATATATACATGTTTATTTTATCAGGTCCTACCAAGGCAGACATGTGGCTTATATACACACAACTTGTTTATGGAACGGTACCCAGGTGGTGCTGCTAGACTAGAAAGTAGTATTCGAGGAGGAGATCTATTTTATCAGTTTGTTTTTAACCCGGTAAGCTGTGAAATACTTAGACAGTATTTCACGAGTTATTTGTTGGTAAAAAAAAAACCAGAAGAAAACAAATTAAGAAGTTTTGCCTGGTAAATTTAAGTTTTATTTGAAAAAGATAAATATTAAACTTTAGAATAAAGTAAACAAGCTCATACTGAATATAGTTCAGTATATTGCCAATGCATTTTTAATAAAAATTATCAGACATCCATGATGTTTACTCTAAAAGTCCCAATGCAAAGGGGCTAATTATAATTTTTGAATTATATTTTAAGAATGAAGTCCATGACAGAACTAAGTCATACTATTAGGTAATACCTAGACTAATACATGCTAGGAAAGAAGCCTTTTAATTATGCAGTTATCTTCCTGAACAAGTAAATTCATCTTGAAGGCTTCCAAGTAATAATCATCAACAATTTGGTAGTCATGAGATGGATGATCAATGAAGAAATTTATCCTAATCTTTAATTTACCTTCTTTTGCAACTTAAGTAAAGGATTTTAAAAGTCAATTTGTTTCAAGTACTGTGCTTTTTTTTGTACATATATATATTTATTGTATGCTTTGAAAGCTACTTAATTAGGTTAGTAGTACTAAGATTATTACATGTTATAGAGATATATATATGTTCTGTTTCTGTCTTGGGCCATGACATAAATTTTAAACTATAATAATATTAAAAACAGATTGCATGATTTCAGGCTGTTTCCTTTATTTTTTGTTGTGTGCTTAAGTTAGCTATAGTTAGTGAAAAAAACACTTTAGGTTTCTGTTAAGTACATAGTTCTATCAACTGTTTCAGATTAATGTGTTTATGACACATTTATCAAATTATGGGAATGACAGATTGGCTTTGTACACCTTTGAGTCTGTCATCAAATTTCTTCAATGTTGGACAAATTTACAACTTTCAACCCTTCCTCCTCTCCAGTTGGCTGAGAAGTATTTCCAAATGTTTCCTGAAGAATCTAATCCAGTATGGGTGGTAGGTTTAACTTTTGTTTTGCTGCAAACTAGCCAAAATGATCTCCTATTTATTTTTATAACCAATATGGGATACTGTTCTATAAGTAAAAAAGTTACATTTTTATTTTGACAAAACTTTGATGGCTGGGGCTAAGGAACTCAAGAAATATAAATCTATACTATTTACTGTATTGTTTTTTAGCATGAAACATTATTTTGCATGCCTTAATAAACCAAAAGATCACTATGTTCTCAGCAATTTTGATTAGTTTTAATTTTAAAAAGGCTCTTCAAAAGCATTTTTATTTGTAAACACTTTTCCAAACTGGGTCCTGTTTGTATAAACGTAAGTATGATTTCTGTATTGAGTTTTACTTTCTAAAAAAATCATAATTTGAAATATTATAAATACGTTACAAGCCAACCTAAAGCCTAGAGATGTGGTAATTCATTCAGGAAATTTCTAAAAAACATTTATGTTGGATTATTCCTTCAGTTTATGTAATAGGTAATCTCAAATGATCTGTACTGGGTAGTAGTTTTTTATTCATATAGTGTGGTAGTGTGTTTGTTGTATCAATATTCTACACACAGCTATAAAGAACAGAAATATCTGTTTGAAGGACTTGTGTTGTTACCAAGTGTCTAGCTCAACAGTTTTTGCTGGAAGAAATTGTGTTATAATTACATTTATGCTGCATATTATACTGTACACATGATTTTGAAATCAGTTCGTATTGCTAGTTGATTACTGAAAATCTTTAGGCTCTTTGATATTTTATTTCATAAAATGTATCTGAATTTTTCTTTTTCAGAACCCTTGTCTTGATAAACGACACCTTGCTATTTGGTCAAGTAAAAAGTCATGTGATCAGCTGCCAAAATTCCTTGTCATCGGTCCACAAAAAACTGGTAGATTTTTTAATATTTTTTTTGATTACCACTTTTTTACAATGCAGCACTATTATTTTTTATTGAATTGTTATCTAATGCCTTTTCTGATTTTTAGGTACAACAGCTCTGTATACCTTTCTATCAATGCATCCTACTATTGTTAGTAATTATCCAAGTGCTGAAACTTTTGAAGAAGTGCAATTTTTCAATGGGAAGAACTACTTTAAAGGATTAGATTGGTAAGTCTCAAACTGTTACTGACTTTTACTGAAGGGACAACTGTGTCAAAGTCAAGGAGTGTCCCACACACGTGTAATAAAGACACACAGACAAAATCAGAGCACAAGCTAGAGTGGTAACTATAAAATGTCTAGGCAGGACAGATATCTGTGGAAATAGGACATACATAACAATAAGGTTACTTCTTTTAATACATCTTTGCAAGCATCACATAAAAAGCAAAATTAAAATTAGGCAAAGTATTTAATTTCTTGCTATCTCTTCCATAACCTTATTTGCAATAGGACAGATATCTGTGGAAATAGGACATACATAACAATAAGGTTACTTCTTTTAATACATCTTTGCAAGGATCACATAAAAAGCAAAATTAAAATTAGGCAAAGTATTTAATTTCTTGCTATCTCTTCCTTAACCTTATTTGCAATGGGTAGGTCAAAGTGCGCTTGTCACAACCTTTTACAAAATTACATTCAAAATTCAATTAAGTTACTTTATTATCAGTGTATATGAATAAACCTGGCATCAAAGCATAGTTAATA